GACTCCTGGCTGCCATCTGCCTACGTAAGTGCCATCTGGGCCTTGCTTGCAGGGCGGCCTCTTTTAGCCTTCCTGGTGGTCTCCGTGTCTCTGCTTCTCCTCTTCTCCCTCTTTCTTTCCTTCTCTCTCTTATTTTCCCCCTATTACTTTTCTATTTCCTACATGTGTTGCTTTGGATGAATGGATTCTGCATAAGATTATCTGGTATTAAAAAAAAGAAGAAACTTATGTAGCTGCTCAGAGGCCCGGTAATTTTCATTGGCAGGGTTCTTCACAGCATACAAAGCACTTTCACTTATATGATCTGATGTGTGCAAATGACAAATCCAGGAGCTAAGCTGGGCAGTATTATCCTTTTCCTAGTGTCAGTAAGACAATGGAGCCAGGTAGTGACTCACCCAAGGTGGCAGGCCCGGAGCAGAGTCCCGGTCTCCTGATGCCTTCTCTTCCAAGCAAATACACTGCACTGGAGGCTCCTGCTGCTCGTAAGAAGGTTTTTCTGGCCTCGTCCACCTCTACTTCCATCTGCCAGCTCACATATTAATACCCTTTGGAAGGAAAATTTAAAGGCATAAGTTGTGTAACTGAGGAGAAAAGCCATAAGGTGGATTCTGTGGTTAGGATTCAATTGCAGTAAAAATTCAAAGAAGGGAGAAGGATCTCTGTGAGCTGGAATAGATTAGAGAGGCTTTAGAGAGAAGTTCTGCAACCTGTATTTCTAGAAGTCTCAACACTTAGTCTCTGATAACAGGGATCCCAATGGATTGGAGTATTTTATATCTTTCAACCAAAAACTAATTTCTAAAGTAAATATTTGGATCTTTCAGAGGCTCTATTTCTAGAGTTAGCTCAGTTTCTGCTTACTCACACCTTCTGACACACATACACTTAGCTGGGGGTAGTGAACATCCTGGCCACACCCTTTCCTAGGTCTTGACACTTTCTTTCTATCATGCTGGTGGGATGGGGAGGGAAGGGTCACTTGCCTATCCCAAGGCTTCTCACAGGGCAGCCAGATAGGGCTCGAGGGGTGATCTCCTTGGCAAGTGTGCCCTCTTCGGCAGTGATGCCCTAGGATAGACCCCCACCATCCAAGCCACTGGAGCCGAGACACTTGTTTGGAGCATATGCCTTGTGCTTGGTCAGGGCAGTTCACAGATCTGGAGAGGAATGTGGGCTCCAGAATCAGGCTGCCAGAGGATGCATCACCACACCACCTCCTAATTACTATGAGTGCTTGGCAAAGTAACCCGCCCCACCCCATCGTAAGATGGAGATTGGAATCCTGCCAGCACAGAAGATCATGGTTGCAAAGACTGCAAAAGACAACAAATGTTTTTAGCACTGCATTGGGCGCCTTGTAGCCCAGCCATTAGTCATTGAAGGTAGTCACTTGCTCCTTGCTTACTAATTGGATCTAGAGATGGGGGAAGGAGAACGAGAAAGAGAGCATGGGAACACAGGAAGAGTTGCCGTTTCTGCCATCAGACAGGCTAATAGTGGTTAGAAGGGGACCACATGAGTTCTGGACACTGCTATTTCAACATCTCATGCACACTGATGTGGCTTCCTTTTTCCTGCTGATTCCGCTAAAGTGTCTCAGACAAGAAGCCACCCTTACCCTCCAACTAGAAATTGAAAGTCCCGAGTCTTCAGTCTATCCCTTACAACAGAAAAGAGGTCTCAGGGGGTAGTTCCCTGGGAAGGTGGACCCCATGGCTTCCTTTCCCAAACCCACCAAGGGTAGGTGACTTCTTGGACAAAAACCCTCTGGAGTAGTGTAGCCTCCTTGATATCCCCTCAGGCCAGAGAGGTGCAAACCCTCCCAGGAAATAAGGATCACTTGCTTGTAGCCCAGCTCCAGAAAGACAGGTTGTACATGGTCTCTTCGGCAGACCACACCTCACCTGGACACTGCTAGCACCAAGCCAGAAGGAGTTTAGAAATTCTAACAAAAAATAAGATCCTCCCCTCTCCCGATTCCTGACATTAAAGGTTCAATAAAGCTTTTGTAGCCTGTCCTCTGCCTCCTAAGTAGAACCGCGAAGAAATTATGACCAACTTAGCAGTAGTCAGTCTTGCCCTCCAGAGATAGGAATTTTTCAACATCCTTGAGATATGTGTTCAAGTACTTTTCTGCCTTCATAAGCAGGAAAATCTTCTTAAACCCAAGCTTATTCTTCCTTATTTCCTTGGGGGAAATAGAAACAAGCTCCTCACCTCACCCTGTGCACTATCTTTTTCTTCCTAGATGTGAAGGCCACATAGAGCCCCCAACTCCTCTCCCCAGAGGGGTGCACACATATGTACGTAGCCACAAACCCACACTTCCTCACCAGACACTCCCAGGTACTTTGAATCTGTGTTCAAAGGTTCTGTTTTCTGGTTTGTTGAATACTTTTTTTTTTGAGCCCACTTCTACAGGCCCCTCAAATCATCTTTTAAAATATTCAGTAAAATAGGAACCAGGCTGTCAGGAAGGCTTGGTGGATGCTATCTCTCATTAAATACTGATATCTTTTATTCTAGCACCCTTCCCACCATCATCCAGCCTCACACATCCTCTTAGCTGGTGCCAATCAAGCCAGCCATGTAGAATAGGCCCAGTGTTCTTTGACAGTAGAACTGAGAGTGGTCCATTCCAGCCATATTCCTAAGAGAAATGGTAGAGAGCTTGGGGATGGTCTGAATGTATTAATATAAGAAGCTCTGCTTTCTGCTGTGTCATTTTGGCGTGCTGTGACAGGCTGGATCCACTGTGGAAATGAGAGTTTTGAGGCAAAGGCCAGCCTCTGTGTAGAGGTACCGTCTGAATTGAGGGAGCTGGAGGGCAGGAGCCGGCAGGGAGAACCAGTGTGGCAAAGCCCCTGGCTGGGATTCATTGTGGGAGGGAGACGATGAGGTCAAGTCTGGTTCCATGGGGCCGTTTTGGAATAGATCAGATGAAAAATGGTGGTGGGAGGAATCAGATGGGGTAGAGAAGCAGAAAGAACCTGCTGTAACTGGCTCGTTCGCACAGAGTCTGGAAGGGGTGGGGAGGAGAGAAACGAGAGAAGGAACTGCAGATTGGATCATGCTTATGCAACTGCAGCTGCCTTTGCGTTATTTTATGATTTAGGTCAAAGCTGATTATTCACTACCGAGTCAGCAGAATATTCCTAGCCTCCAGGCAGTAAAAAAAAGAAAGTATTTTACATTTTAATTAAATGAAAAGCCGTTCTCTCTTCTCCAGAGCAAGCATATTAGTGCCTTCTTTTGTGATTTGCTTGAGTATTTTCTTTCTTTTCTTCTGTTTTGTTTGTGTGTATTGTTTTATTAATATTTCATAAGTAAATGACTTTTTCTCTAGCAAGGTAAAAGGTAAAAGGTGTTCCCCTTATCTTCACCCAGTAGCCTTGGTAACAGTAAATAGGTATCCTTACAGTTCTAAATAAATGCATCTGTCAGTGTATATATTTGGGTATATAGATCAATAGGTTCTTTCTGCAGCTTGCTTTTTTTTTTTTTCCCTTTAATCATTTAGCTGCATCTTACCTGTGTTTCTAGTTAGAAACAAAGTGGTCCCAGTGACAAAGAAGGAGCACCAGGTGTTCCGGGGTCCCACATTTGTTCTTCTTGCCTCCTGACTCTCAAAGGATTTTCCTTTGAGATCTATTTGTCCCCCATCTCTTGGACACCAGGCCACCTTTCACTCAGGCAGCTCCTGGCATCCTTCCTCTCTTTTGGGGCTGGAGTCACATCTAGCATCTGCAATAGGTTATTTTCTTCTCATTCAAGTTCCCTTCTTGTCCCTGAATGCCTGGTACTAAAGAAGCTCCTTCTCCATTCTCACCTTGAAGAGAAAGGAGTACCTTGCATGTGTTTCATGAATAAACAATGCTTATCTAGTTTTCTGTCTATCTACTGAGATTCCTAAGAGGCTAGTTTTCCAGAGCTTCAAATTTTTTCTTCTTGAAGACTTCACTGTATGCATTTCTTTTAACCCTGGGTTATTCTGCAATTCCTCTACAGAAAGTTTCCAGATTCTTGATGCAAGATGCTGTGACAGATAAACGTGTGTGTTGTTTTGCACATCTCTTATAAATTAATCCCTTGACATCAGAGAATTCAACAGTCTTTCCTAGCATCTAAATCCCTTAATCTCAGTTCATTTTCCTTTGAGGCTTCATATTCTTGAGCCCCAAACTTCTCATCCCCGGGCATTAAACATATTGCCTCAGATACCTGGGCAGCACTGCCTTCTTGCCCTTCCCTTGACCCCAAAGAGTTCTTTTGGTGTCTCAACAGTCTTGTATATGTATATGAATCCAGACAAATACAGACTGACCTAGATTTGATTCCCATATATCCAAGTCCCCCTTTTTTTCTGTATATCTTCTAACTAGACAACCTTTAAAATTTAAATGTATTAAGAAATCTCTTAGTTTTTATGCAATGGTCAATTTGACTAAAATCCCATTTTCCATTTTTATAATGCATTAAGATGAAAATTACTTTGTAAATGGATTTTCTAGGAAAAAAAAAGAAATTGCAAATCCATCAGTTAATTACCATATTGAGCTCCTATACTGAGTAGAGATAAGGCATCATTTATACAGTCTTGGAAGAGATTAAAGGCTAGTGAAAAGATTGGTGTACAAACAAATAATTACAATATGGTGTGATGACAAGAGATACTTCAAAGTTGGGAGAGGAGTGCTAGGAAAGGTTGCCAGGTTGAGCGAAATCTTGAAAGGCGAGTAGATAGGCTCTGGATAGGCATAAAATAGAACAACCAGGTAGTGAGAGGGGCACAGGCAAGACTTGGGGTCAAGAGAGAGATGATGACCTGTTGGAGAGAAGTAAGTACTTTTGAGTGGGTGGAGCTTCAGAGAGTGACAGGAGATGAGGCTGAACGGGTGAGCAGGAACCATACCTTGAAGGATCTTGTACATCATGCAGAAAATAGCAGACTTCATCCA